CTAGGACTATTGATGTTTGTTAGGTTGAAATGCTTAGCAAAAGAGAGTCTGGGCAAGATGCATTGAAATGTTGCCATTAATATGTTATATTTGACAGCTTTTCCTTTTCTTTTTCTTGTAGCAGCAGGAAAAACTCAAACTGTTGGAGGATTTCATGTCAACTTGGGAAAGGAGTCGCGGGCACAGACTTTGCAAAATGGTAACTTGTAATTCTTATTTTTATTTAGCCTTGCTAAAGAAAGCTATCCCAGAGCTAAATTTTATCCACTATGATTTTGAGGGTGTATCAGAGAGGAAGTAGATATTTTTAGAGCACTGCTTATGCAATTCCCCTTAAATTGTGAATTGAGTTGGAAGAAATTTGTACTGAAAACCATACTTGGCGTCGGCAAATAGTAATTAATGCAAGGAGAAAAGCAAGGCATATTTGACATCTCTGTCCTCATAGCTTGCAAATAAATTGCTTTAAATGTCAGATGTACTTTAATTCTAGAATTGAAGCATCTCCCCCCCCCCCCCCCAATTCAGTATAGACCTAGTTTAGCTGAGTCATGAATCTGGATCTCTTGAATTCAAGTAGAATAATAACCCTTCAAGAGCAGATTGACGGAGGGCAGCTGCACTCAGTAGCTTCACAATAAGACTGTCTTTCCCAGGTGGTGGAGTGGGCAGTCTGAGACCTTCCAGATGTTTAGGCCTAATTCTCCATTCAATGTGGCAAAGAACAGGAAGAATGGAAAGTGAAATAAAAAAGAAATAAAGGGCATCAGCTTGTCTGTCTCATTAGAAATGCAATGCTGAAGCTAAGTAAGTGTGCATCTGTTCAAGCTTGAATGAAAGACCATTTTTTCCACTATAAACTAAAATGGTATGTGCGGTTCTGTTCCTAAGTTCAGAAGGCCCTATGTGCTTGGCATTTTTGGTAGAATTTGTGAAGTTTCCAGATCAAAATTATAATTCACATTTTGTAATCAAGCTTTCTGCAATGACAATCAATATGCTGCTGGGTTAGATTGGATTTAGGCTGGAGGGCAATTTTCTTCAGGTCCTTTCTCTTCTTAAATTTGAGAAGTTGGAGCTGTAAGCAGATGGTATTTGACTAGGCAGTCAGAAAGTCAGGCTTTTGTATTTAAATCAGATGTGGCTGATTCAGAAGCATTCCAATTCCATTCCCATTCCATTCCATTCCTTGGCTTTATGTTATATTACATTCCAGTCATTTTTCATATTCAATTACTAAATGGATTCTCATATATTTATTTGGAATATGCCATATTTAAAAGAAAATCTCATTACATAAAATGAATGCTAGCTTTAAAATTCATAATTTTGTTTCAAATGTTTCATTTTATTGTGCATTTAATAGCCTTTGCTGATACACTATTCAGACGGCTGCCTCTGACTTTTCTAATGTAACATTGATGTTCTCATTAATTATTTCTAATAAGACCTATACAGTAATTTCCTTGATTTTTCTCTCATAAAACTAGGTATTTTTCATTAATTACTTACACAAGTGAGAGGAACCTTTGAGTGATAATTTACAAAACCCATGTTTATTAAGTATATTTTTAAATGCCATCTCTGTGGATTTTTTTAAAAACAACAGATTTCAATTTGTACCACTGAATCTTTATTAATATCAAAACAAGGACCTAGCAACAATAACTCATAACTACCTGGTACTGCATGTTCTATGTGGCATTGCTTTTAAATGCCATTTGGACCAAAAATTCAAAAACCCATTTGCTAATGGGTGCTAGATACCCAGAACATATTCCATCTGTACTGTGAGTCCTGCATTAGCTCTCAGTTGTTTTAAGAGCAATTTAAATTGTTGATTTTAGAACTTGGTACTAAGATACCTGCACGACTGCCTCCTTCAACTAGAATTAATAAGTCTGGTACCATCCACACATTAAAAAACTGTTGGGAATTCTCTACTATTAAATGATCAGAGGAGCCAAAGCCTGGAGAAGATGCTTCTCCATTAAGGCCCCTGTATTGTAGAATAGCTTTTATCACCAGAAGTGAGGCTGTTTGCCTTCTGGAAGCAGGTTAAAATGGAGTTCTTGCAGAGAGCCTTTTTAATGAATGAAGATAGCACTTTAGAAGTTACTTAAGTGCTTCAGTTTTAAGGTAATTTAAAATATTTGTTATGATTGCATAATTGCATTTCAATGTTATGGATGTTTTCCATTGTAATTTGCTGAAAGTTACATGATTGCAGTGGTTTGAAAAATAAATCATAGAAAACATAGAAAAAATATTAAAGCATGTTAACCATTGAGAGAAGCAAAGTGGACCAGTTCTAGTTTCATGTCTGTTATGTTGGCCTCCTATGATTTCTATCATTTGTGAAAATAAAGTAGATTTTTAGGACACATGTATGCATTATTTGGGAGTTTTAAGGACTAACGTAAGTCTTGTTGAATTGGAAGTTTTCCTGTGGAACACTTTGAGTGATTTTACGGAGAATGTTAACTTTGATTTTGAGCGTTTGAATCTTTCCCTAGTGGTGTGAAAGTCCCCTGTCTTTCAGTTGTGTACTCAGACACTGAAACATTACTCTTGCCATTAGGGCATGCTCATGAAAAAGCAACCTCACAGAAGATCCTTTGTTTCAAATATATATTTCTTAGGACTCCCATCAAAGGCTTCTAACCTACTGGAATGAATCCTGGAGCCTTGTTATTTGGCTCTCTCATCGCCATAAACTTTTTCATGACTAATCCATGGAATTATCAAATGGAGTATTTGGGTTTAATCAAATTTTGATTCACCAAAACCTTGCACTGTAAAGCAACAACAACAACAACAACAACAACAATAACAACACTTCATAAAACATTTGAAAAAGTTGTGCTGACTGTTCTGAGAATTGGGCTTCTCTTTTGGGTAAATCTGCAGCTGCCTTACTGTCAGTACATGATTGGTAAATCTCTTTCACTTGACGGAAAGGAATGCAGCCTTTTAACATGCAACAAACTCACTTCTGGCTCACTGCCATAAAGTTTCTGAGAATTTTTTTCTAGCAATAAAAGCTGTGTGCTGGTAGATTGTGCAGGTGCTGAAAATGTTTTGTATATTACCATATACAATATTGGGGCATGTAAGGACATCCTTTTGGTTTCTTTGCACAATGTACTTGGCAGCCACATTTTTCCCACGTTTTGGCTAAGTCAACAACAGTTGGAACTCTGAAAACACCTTTGTAATTTTTTTCCTTATTAGCATTTGATGATATTTTTTAAAAAAAGGTCATAACATGAGAATTTTGCATCCCACTGCTAGTGATATAGGTCCTGTATTATCATGGGCAATTAAGGCCTTAAAAGAAAAAAGGGTGGGTATCATTCAAATAAAAATTATAGTTTAGAAACAATTCCTTTTCTGAAGAATGAAGGCAACTGCTCTAGTGCACACTGTGGATTGGGACAATAAACTGTTATTAGATACATAGATAGTTGAGGATGTGATAATGCATATAGCTGGCATGGCAGTTTGTTATACCCAGTATGAAGACGGCGGATCTCTTGTTTGTCCGTAAATTATTTTGTTAGTTTGTTAGCTAGTGCTAGTGGGAGTTATTTTTTAAAAAGATAATACTTTTTATTAAAGCTTTTTACAGTGCTAAAAGATAATGCAAATTGAAGTCACAAAGGGAGCACTGTTCCCTCTAAGGTGCGCGGCTGCGCGGCCGCGCACATGGCAAGAAAACACCGCACAGCAGTTTCTAACTGCTGCGCAGTGATTTCTGTCACAGGCTCTGGAAGCTGAGGGGCGTCAGAAAATCTAGGGTTAGCATAGGCAGGGGGACGGCGGCAGGAGCTTACATGGCACAGCCGGTCTAGTACCTCCTAGGTGCCAGCTGCGCCGCTCATTACCGTCAGTCGCCNCCACCTGAATTGTGTGACTGTTGTGCTCTCTTTTAATATGTTGTATTGTTTCCATATTGGAATACTGTTTGTCTTTCCCCCCCTCCCTTTTTGAATTGTGAGCCACCCTGAGTCCCCCCAGGGAAAAGGGCGGCATACAAATAAAGGAAATTCAATTCAAATTCAATTCAAAGACTTGTCCAGGTAGTATCAGATAATTGGAGGCAGTGGTGGGTTTGTACCAGTTTAAATGTTGTGCATGCAATATTTTTGTGCATGCGCAGAAGTGTCCACATGGGTGGGAAGGGCCTCCTGTTACCACCACTACCGGTTCGATTGAACCAGGTTGAACTGGGAGAAACCCACCTCCGATTGGAGGAGAGGAAGGGAAGGGCGGGGGAGGAATGTGAAACACCTTCACAGTTACATAACTAATCATTAAATGACTAAAATTTTGATCACATCTTTTTTACATGATTATATTACATGATAGGGCTTTTATTGATTATGTTTATGCAAAGTAAAATATTAATTCAGGGGTATTAATAAGGGCCATGGGACTCCATACTATCTGGGTGGCTTTAAATAATATAAGAAAAAAATAGTATTAATATATTATAAATTGTATTCATAATACTTTGCAGAATATTTTCAATGCTGTTATGTTCAAGAATTCTAATTCAAATTCATATGCATATATAATACCATCACCTTGAAAACTTCAAGCCAGACCTGAATTATTAACCATTTGAAACTCAAGAAAAATAAATTGTATATTACACTAAATTATATAATGATCACCACAAATAGTTGATAATTATATATATTAAACTTCAATTACAGTTGTATAATTTTGAAACTGCGAGATGGTTTGTCTTAGTTATGCCATTTATTACCTTTAAATTGTACTACAACTCCATAATTAAATAGATTAGTAAAGGGATTGTAAAGTAAAAGTTCAAGGTTATCAAAAGTCTCTATTTTTCCTAGGATTAAAATGTTAACTAGTGTTATTATTGCTTTTGTTTTAATATAAGGGGTGCCTGTCTTGATCAATTGATTGTGTGCTAAGTCAAGCTCTTGTCAATTGTTAGTGACCATACAGAAAGATTTTTCTCAGGAAAATCTTCCCAGGAGGACCCTATGTGGTGCCCCTGATCTTTCAACAACAAACTCATAACCACAGTAATTGGCTGGATCCACCTTTCTGCTGGTTATCCTTTCTTTCCCCCCACTTTCCCCAGCATTAGATCTTTGCATAATGTGTCCAGAATATGATAATCTGAGTCTGGCCAGTTGTGCATGGAATAAAATTTTTAGATTGATTTGTTTCATTATACATTTGTTTATTTTTCATGAATGAAGGTAAATTTACAGTATACATCCCAAGGTAATGTAGGGATCATGGTCATGGAACCAGAGGTTTAGTCTTCTGAGCTTTTGGATTCGTGATGAAACCCATCCTTGGAAAACTTCTGTTTGGCACATATTCTGCTAGAGAGAACTTCCCTGAGGATGGGCTCCAGCAGAAGTCTGAAAGCTCAGAAGAGTAAACCTCTGATCCTGGTGACTGACCCAGATTGGATCCTTATTTATTATTCTTGGTTGTCTCTAAATTTTTCAGGAGTCTTATTCAATGATAAACTTCAAAAGTGTCATTACTTCTTCAAAACCATCTACCACTTTAATATCTTCATTGTCAATTTTAAAAGTGTTTGTTTTACCAACTATTAGTTTGATTTTCTTTATTTTAACATTAGCCTATATTTTTCACTACATCCTTTAATTTTCATTACTAGAGTTTCTAGATTATTTAAATTCTGAGCTACCAGAATAGTATCATTAGTATAGGTCATATTATAGATATTTCTTCTTCCAGTTTTAAAATTACACTCATCTACTTCCAATGCAGCCTCTCTCAAAATATATTCAGCATATAAAATGAATAAATGAGACAGCATGTACTCTTATCTCACTCCTTTGCCATTACAGAGCAAGTCTCTTTCATTATGTTCTACCCAGAAAGGCTTCCTTATCTATGTATGTATAGGCTTTACATGAAGACAATGAGATTTTTGTGGGATTTCCATTTTCCTAAGTGCATTTCACAGCATGACATGGTCAACATAATCAAACATCATCAGTCTTTCTATAAGCGATAAAACACTTATCAACTTATTTCTGTTATTCTTTGGCTGTTTCGATTATTCAGTAAACATTGACAATAATGGCTCTTGTTTCTTGATCTTTTTTAAAATCAGCTTGAACATTTGGTATCTCTTTCCATGTAGCATGACCTAAGTATCATTTTGTTAACATGTGAAATTAAGAATACTGTACAATATCTCACTCTGTCAACTCTTTTTTACTTTAGTACTAATATGTATAATGACCTCTTACAAACTATCAGCCACTGTATCATTCTCCAAGTTTGTTGACATACATTGTAAGAAACTTTTCTGACTCTTCTATTGTTTGTCATGTTTATGAAGATATTCTTTCAATTCCTGTAGCATTCCACTATAGTCACAGCTGATCTAACTAGCTTCTATGTCTTGTAAAGAAGGTCTTGTAAATAGGGAATGTCCTCTAAGGTATGTTGAATGTTGACATTTTTACTGTCGGTATATTCATTCCATCTTAGTTTGATCTTCTGTGCCTACCTTAGGGGCAGAGTAAATTTTTAAAGAAAGACAGAAAAAAGAAGAAAAAAGTAAAATAATAAAGTTCTTGATTCTGTACAAGGCATACAATATACAATACATTGATTTTTATACCACTTTGTATAAAGAAAAAGTTTGGATAAACAAATAAATGTAAATAATTTAAAAAAAACCAACCAAAATACAAAAGAAAAGACTCAAAGTGAAGCTAAAGTGATCACTAATAAGGAGAAATGGAAATGACAAATGGTACCACATGTTAATATAAATAAGTGTTTTTACAAGCAAAGGAGACAGGTTAGATCTAACAAAAAACAAGGACTGCTTTAACAATGATAGAGATCATGTGAAATGAGGATAAGCCTGTGAACCTTCAGAAAATCTTTATTAAAATGAAGTTAAAAGTGACTTGCAAAATTAACAGCGCAAGGCTGTCTTCAGCTGCCATTCAAAACTTAATTTTCAGTACTGAATAAGAAATGTGATTATTATCTTTTGTGGATGCTTATTGAAAGTAGTAGAGATTATCATTTATATATGGAAAGTGCCTGTTCGACCTTCAGCTTTCTTCACCAAAACAGATTTCCTATTTTAGGTTGGCAAGGGCAGTTTCTGGAGATTTTTCTTTAAAATCTGGTAATCTTTAGCCAAAAATATCAGCTAAATAAATCAAATTGTCCACCTGTTTTCTTGAAGGATGAATTGGGGAACAGCAAGAAGTTAGTTATTAGCATCACTGATGTTAGCATTAATTAATAACATAAGTGTACTATTTTGTGCTATTAATGTACTTCAACTAGCATAGGAGTGTATTTACTGACATCTTTAAAGATGCCTTATTTGCTTGTGGAAATATAGATAAGAATTTTAAAATCATATACTTTTTTGACAGCTTCCTTTTTTAAAAATTCTCTGAATGATTGTTCCTGCAAATAGTATTTATATTTAAAATTCTACTTACATACAAATAGCACTGAGGAGGG